CCTAGTGGTGGCCACCACTTCAGCCGTGGAGGTAGTCACAATCCCGTGTCATACGTAGACTGGTGGAGGTTAATTGAGTGGGTCCATCTGGAGTTGAGGTTGTGAGCATTACTTAACTGTCCCTATGCCAGGCTAGCAAAGAGTGAGACTGATAGCCAAGAGATCAGGTAAATCCAGCTGTGCACTCCAAGGCAGTATGACTGGGCACACCCCTTCATCTCTGTACTCCCCCTCTATGACTTTGGGAACAGTGGCTACTACCTCTCAGGCTTGTGTGCACATTTAGCAGAACGTCCATGAAGTGCTGACCAGAAACTGATGTCAAAGGTGCTTTAAGCTGTTTCCTTCCTCCTTCTCACCTGTCAGCAGATCAGCCTTCCTTTTCTAAAGGACTCAGTCGGAATTCCAGCAACTGTCTGCCAGTGCCTGCTGGTGTCTATGTGTGTGCACGTGGTTACACTGGGGAAACCATTGAGGTGAAGAGGGGTAAAATTCTTCAGGGGCAGGCCCTCTTGAAGCTGGAGCATAGAGGGAAAGTAGAGCCACAGGTGCCTCTGTCAGCCTGCCAGGGTGCTTCTGTAGGAAGGCATAACTGAAGCTGCACCTACTGCGAATCGGTCTCCATCATGGGTATTTGTCTCTTTAGCTAGACATGGCAGTGATCCCATGGGAAGACGACCCAAGGAGACTTGCTCAAGAGACTACCAAGAAAGAAGCCTGGTCAGTCAGGGATAGATACAGGTACAAGAGCCTGGGTCTCTGATCTCCTAGGCAGACATTAGGGAAGTTTGAAGCATTGCTGCAGCCTTCTCAGGAAATGAAGACTCCTGACCATTCTTTTCCCATGGCAACTGGTACTTAGTACAGAGTTACTGCTTAGTACTTAGTAAGAGTATCTGCTGATGAACCAACAGGGCAGCAGGACCTAGCATGTGAAACGTTAGTGAAACGACACCATGTTCCCAGCTCGTGAGATCAACAGCCGCCACCAAGAGCTCGGCATCCACCATACCCTCTTCCTTGTCCATTTTTTGTTGTTCTTGGATGCAGGGTTTTACTGTGGTGCTTACTCTGCCTAGGCTCCTGGGTAACTAGGACTGCACAAATAACACACATTCACAATCTGTCCTTTTGTTTGAGGCAGGGTCTTAAGTAGCCCAGGTGGACTTCAAACTTGAAACAAACTTCCTGCCTCAGCCTCCCAGTGTTGGAACTGCAGGTGTGTACCATCACAGCTAGTAGCTTCATTGGCTCAATGACCCTTTAGCTTTTGCTGTTTTCTTGGTGCTGCTGTATGTAATTGGCCCTGGCCCTTAATTACACTTTCACACAGATCTGTTATCCCTATCTCTGATGTTTGATATTTATCTTTAATGAAGGAAGGGTTTGTTTTTATTGCTCACAGTTACAGAGGCCTGGTCCATGATGGCCTGCTCTTTGTTTCTGGGCTAGTTCTGAAGCAGTGGCATAGCAGCAGTGTGCTAGACAGTGGGGGAGCTGTTTCATGGCCAACAGGAAGTAGAGAGGGATCTTAGGTTTATATACTATTCCTTCCTGTTTCTGGACATGTACTGGTGGTCATTCACCTGTCTGTTTACTACCATTGCACAATCAGATGGATGTTAGCACCTCAGGGCAGGGGACATAAGTGATAGAAGGCGGCTCCAATGTGCACCAAGGACTGGCCTGATACATAGTCGGCAAACAAGGAATATGAAGAAGATGCCCTGAAAGAAAGGGAAAGGTGGCTAGCTCTAACTCACCTGTTCTAGGGACTACAGCAAGCTGGGCTCTGGGTCTTGAGACAGCTGTAGAGAGAAGTGACTCTTTTATCCTGGCTCCTGCCTGGCTGAGCTTTAAGTCTGTTCACCAAGGAAACTGGAGACCGCCCAACGCATTTCATGGCTAGAAGAAAATCCAATGTGCTGTGCTGGGTAAGGGACTGCCGTTGGAGAAATCTGCACGGCAGACACACAAAGAAGCCTGCACCTTTATCCACCATTAGGCAAGAAAACGTATCAGAAAAAGGGGATGTGCTGTGTAGAAGGCATAGAATTCTGTGGAATTTCGGTTTAGTTTGGTTTTTTGACATCTTATCTGTGTAGTCCTGGCTGTCCTGGAACTCAGATCCGATACTTTTGTCTCCAGAGGGCTGGGACTAAAGGTTTGCTTGTATGTTTTGTTGTTATGTTTTACATGAGCAAGGCCGAAAAGCTGTTTCACATGCTGTTGTTATTTTAATCTTTACTCTTCAGGGGGCCCGCCACCCAGCTCCCAAATAAATTCTCTCTCTTTCTCTCTCTCTCTCTCTCTCTCTCTCTCTCTCTCTCTCTCTCTCTTATAAATGACCTGCCTTAGCTTGGCTTGTTTCTAGCCAGCTTTTCTTAAATTATCCCATCTATCTTTTGCCTCTGGGCTTTTTCCTTTTTTTACTTCTGTAATCTTACTTTCACTCTTACTCTGTGGCTGGCTGGGTGGCTGGCCCTTAGTGTCATCTCCCTTTATCTTCCTCCTCCTCTTCCCAGATTTCTCCTATTTATTCTCTCTGCCTGCCAGCTCCACCTATCCTTTCTCCTCCCTCGCTCTTGGCGGTTCAGCTCTTTATTAGACCATCGGGTGTTTTAGACAGGCAAAGAATCTCAGCTTCATAGAGTTAAACAAATGCAGCATAAACAAAAGCAACACACCCTAAGATAATATTCCACAACGATACACTGACAGCAGGAGAGAGGAAGGAATGGTTTGGGGCTGAAAAGATAGATGAGCCAGGAGGGTATTAGTGCCTGGCTGGGGAATCTGGACTCCGACTGGTGGCCGTCGGAGACAACCAACCTCTTTCCAGCTGGAATCACCAGCCATTGCACTTTACAGAATATTACACCTGGGAAGAGTCAGAAAGAGAACTGTGAAGCTGGAGGGTGGTTGGGTTTTGTTTTGTTTTTTTGTTTTGTTTTTTTGCTTTTCCAGGTAAGGTTTCTCTGGTATCCCTGGTTGTCCTGGAACTTCTGTAAACCATGTTGGCCCTTCAACTCAGCCTGTCCTGAGTGCTGGGATTAAAGGCATGTGCCACCGGCACACTGCTGAAGTTGGGGGTATTAAAGAGTCTTAGGCAAAAAACAAAACAAACAAAAAACCAAGAGTTTTAGGCTGGGTATCAGCTCAGTGATGATACATCACTTGCCTAACATGAACAAGACTGAGGGTGCTATTCCAGCACTACAAAAATAAATATATGGGCACATGGGGGACATTAGATCTTTTCCCCAGCCTACAGGCCCCTTGAGCTTTGCAGCATGTCTCGCCATACTGTGAAGAACTACATTCCTTAGGATCCTCATGATCCTGGAAACACTAGTCTTTCCTCCCCCTGATAGCCCCTTTGGCATCCCTGTGTCTGTCTAGCCTACAGCTGCTCTACAGGCCTAGGAATGAGTTACTCTTAGCATCATTCTTGCTAGACTCACCTACACCTAGTCTGGAAGCTAGTTTCCTAAACAGATCATTTTTTTCCTGTCACCTCCCTTAATGTAATCTGAACCACCATCCCATCTCTGTTTCCAGCCTGTTCTCTACAATAATAGGTCATTTCTTTGCTTAAAACCCTCCAGTGGGGCTAATAAGATTACTTGATGGTTAGCTGGGCATTGATGGCATACACTTTTAATCCCAGTGCTCCGGGAGGCAGAGGCAGGTGGATTTCTGTGAGTTCGAAGCTAGCCTGGCCTACAGAGCGAGTTCCAGAAAAGCCTCCAAAGCTACACAGAGAAAACCTGTCTTGGAAAAAAAAGGGGGGGGGCCACTTGAGGGGTCAATAAGATGGTCTGGCGGGCAAAGGTGCTACAAAGCCTGTCAATGCTAGGACCCACAAAGCCTGTCGGCCTGAAGTTCTATCTTTAGGATCCACAAGATGAAAAGAACCAACTCCCACCAATTATCCTCTAATCTCTACAGGCATACTTTCATATGCTCATGCATGTATGCATGCAAGTGTACACACACACACACACACACACACACACACACACACACACAAAACAACTCAGTCGGGATGGTGGTGGTGCACAACTTTAATCCCATCAGATAGGACTCTTGAGTTCGAGGCTAGCCTCATCTACAGAGTGAGTTCCAGAACAGAGCTACATAGTGAGACTCCTCCTCAATACATACATACATACCAATAACTCCTATGACTCCCTTTGTCCATAGGAAAACTAAATCCTTACCATAAGAGGTGACTTCTAGAAACCACACTGAACCCAGCCACACATGCCTGCTTTTGACTTTTCATGGGTGCTCTGCTGCCACTACTACTCCTACCCATCTCCTGTTTCAACTGTTCTTCTTTTAGATTTCTTATTTTGAAATGGGGTCTATTTAGCTTTGACTTTTATGTAGAACAGGCTGGCCTTGAACTCATGGAGATGCCTCTGCCTCTTAAACCCTGAGATTAAAGGTGTTCCCTACCACACCCATCTGTTTTCTAGATTTCAACTGAAAAGCTATTTCCTCAAGTCCGCACCACCATTAGCTCCGTTCAACACCATTGTCTCTCTCCCTTCCGCTGGCCAGCATCTTGTCTGCTTGTTTGCTGCTGTTGTGTGTCTTGGCCTCTGGAACAGTGAGCACTGTGTAGCTTTGTGGCAGGATATTTGATCACACTGTAACACCTCAAGACTGTGTTGATAATAGTTAACCTTGAATCGGGGCGGAGCCAGCAACTCACTGACAAGAATTGATAGAGAATACAGAGAACCTCAGATATTGATAGAGCAGCACTGGAGGAAATAGGGAGGGACTTGGGAGATTCTCAGGCTTTTTGTTGAGCCCCTTTTTGGTCTGGGAAGTGTGGAGAGGTCAGCTGGTCACTCTTCCACTGTTTCTTTGATCTACCAGCATTTTACCCCAATATCCCAAATACCTAACTCCTGAGTCTATTGGTAATAGAACAACATAGTTGTTTTGGATGGACTTAACTGATAGTCTCTTAACACTTGTTTTAGATATGTAACTGGTTCATCAACGCCCGGCGTCGCCTTCTCCCTGACATGCTTCGGAAGGATGGCAAAGACCCCAATCAGTTCACCATCTCCCGTCGTGGGGGTAAGGCTTCCGATGTGGCTCTCCCCAGAGGCAGCAGCCCCTCCCTGCTGGCTGTGTCTGTTCCGGCCCCCACCAACGTGCTCTCTTTGTCTGTGTGCTCCATGCCGCTCCACTCGAGCCAAGGTGAAAAGCCAGTAGTCCCCTTCCCGCAGGTGGAGCTGGAATCCCCTAAGGCCCTGGTGACCCCTGGAAGCACACTCACTCTGCTGACTAGGGCTGAGGCTGGAAGCCCCACAGGTGGACTCTTCAATACACCGCCACCCACACCCCCAGAGCAGGACAAGGAAGACTTCAGTAGCTTCCAGTTGCTGGTGGAGGTGGCGCTGCAGAGAGCTGCTGAGATGGAGCTTCAGAAGCAGCAGAATCCAGCACCCCCGTTACTACACACTTCCCTCCCTCTGGTCTCGGAAAATGCCAAGTAGGCACCTGCTACCAGGCTGCTTGAGGCTCAGGCCAGCTGTCCCAGGTTCCTGGTTCACTTCTCCTTCACACAGAGGGTTATCTACGGATCACTGCCAAGCATCTGGATCATCTCTGTCCAGAGGTCCTCAGCAGAAAGACAGCAGCTGGTGTCACTGCACTGTTATGGGGGCCTGTACTCTGCTGACTACATTCCTTCAAACTTCCTCTCTGAGGAGACCAACGCACCAGAGCCAGGCATGGTGTTGCTGCTGCTTCTCCAGAGAGCCCTGGGACACCTGCACTCCAGCCTGCTTTCCTAGGCAGGCTCAGGAAACCTGCCAAGTTCAGACTTGAGCTAGGTCCAAGCTGCCCCTAAGCTGTGCCTCTTTTGGTCAAGCCAGGTGTGCACATTCCAACCTACTCAAAGGACAAAGGAAAAGACCCAGCAGACATCACAGAACCGACTCCAGTTGAATGTTTAGGTTTTTGCTAAATTGTTTTTCCTTTTGCTGTGGTTTGCATTGATGGCAGTAAGTAGCCCGGAAGCATGGGTGTGGGGAGAGAGCACCTTATACGATGGAGCTTTATAAACGGGGTGATCTACCACTGCATTGGGGATGATTGTATAAGGGACCAGCAGGATCTCTGCAGCCGTGCTGAATTCCACCTGGAAGTGGTTGTTTGAGTCTTGGTTTGGACTACTCTATTGTAAAAGAAGGAAAATACCTACAGGTGTTGGATTATTTGCACCAGACAGAAGGGGATAAAACCGAAGCCAAGTCCACCTGAACCAAACAGCCATTTAGACAGACAGCAGAGACAGATAAAAAAGCCAGAGACATACTGAGGTTTTTCTGTTGTTTTGTTTTTGTATTTTGGGATGGTTAAGCTAGACTGAAACAGTTTTTGTTTTCTCTCTTTTGGGTATCGTCTTCCCTGCACACACACACACACACACCCTTTTTTTTTTCTTTTTTCTTTTTGTAGTCTGTTTGGATTCATTCATGTCAAAAGCACCAGCATCTCCTACTTTGGGAAAAGTGAGCCATCTGCTGGTCAGGAGGCCCTTCAAACATGCCACTGGTTCCACAGAGGTAGCTGGAACCTTCCTGAGGGCTAGTGCAGCTACAGATGGGCCCAGCACCTGGGAGCTGTGTCTGTTTCACCATCCTTCAAGTTGGAATTGTAAGGGCCTGCCTGCCTAAAATTTCCCCGGAAACAGATCACATGTGTTTTTAATCTCTCTCCTCCCCCCTCCCTTTTTTTTTACTTTGCTGTTTTGTTAGTTTTCAGCAACAGTTTACCCCATCTTTATATATCCTAAGAAACACTAATCCTAGGTTTTATTAACCAAAATATTTGTGTTCTGAATAACCAGATTTGAGGAGCTCTGACTGTAATTTCCTGACGTTTATTAGGTTGTGAACAGAGAAGGGGCTCCGGGGTGTTCACTGACTTGGAGTACCTGTCCCAGAGATACACCATTCTGGCCTTTCTTAGGGAGCCCCCTGCTACTCTTACAGGCTTCCCTACCTCTCCTAAGTGGCTTAGCCCCATCCCTTGCTGTGCAAGTGGGAACTGAGAGATTTGTTCTCTGTGGGGGGGGGGGGGGGGTTGCTTTCCTAGGCTGGATCTCCTGCCTCCCTCCAGGGGATCTAGCATCCTCATTCCTTCCAGGTATTTCTGGGGAAGGATGAACATGGCAGCTTCATAGAGTTTGCTGATTGCCTATTTCTGCCCCAACTGTCTGTGATCCTAGATCCCAGGATTGCTGCAGGATACCTATGGTAGGGGGTGATACTGGGGTGGGTGGGAGTTTTCTCCCCCACAGTGCACTGAGCAGGGGAGGAGGGAGGGAGCCATGCTGCTGACATATTCTGGCATTCCCCCCTCCTGAAATAAAATGGGCCATCTGAGGGATGGGGCAGTCTCTGCCTTGTGTTGTTTATAAGAAATCTGGAGAAGCATGGTTGTCCCATTGAACAATATTTGAGCAGAAAACTACTGTAAATAACTGGTTTTTTTGTCTTTTGTCAAATAAAGTTGTTTGGTTTTATTTTTAAAGTCAAACTGAATTCTTGGTTGGACCCACTGTGCATTATTTTAAAAAGATTTATTTATTATATATACAGTGTTTTGTCAGTATGTTTGCTTGCATGCCAGAATAGGGCATCAGATCAGGTTATAGATAGTTGTGAGTCACCATGTGGTTGCTGAGAATTGAACTCAGGACCTCTAGAAGAGCAACCAGTGCTCTTAACCACTGAGCCATCTCTCCAGCCCCCTCACTGAAGTTTTTGTTGGTGTCCTGTCCCCATCCCAGTCTGTTTCCTTCCCCGCCCCCAGATGGGTTTCTCTGTGTAGCCCTTGCTGTACTAGAACTTGCTCAGTAGACCAGGATGGCCTCAAACTCAGGGATCCACCTGCCTCTGCCTCCGAAGTGCTGGAATTAAAGGCTGCACCTCCACCTCCTGGCCAGTCACTGCAGTTTTACTCTGCTTTGCCTCTTTTACTCTCCTTCTAGCCACCTAGGTTTGTGCAGACCTTTCCTGGTCCGTTTATGTAGCCTATTCAGCACTATCAACATTCCTTGTAAGCCTGACCAGTCACTTCTGGTCACGGACCAACATTGGGTTTGCTAAATGGTGAGTAGACTTGGGATTTGGCAGTTTGTTCCCCTGAGGCCTCGAGGAAAAGCATATTACAATTTGATAACTCACACAAGAATGCAGGTGTAAGATATGACCACTTCTGCTTCAGCCACAGCTGAAGTCAGGATGACTGCAACTTCTGTCAGCCTGTAAATTACCGGTTGTTTCCACTAGTTTTGGGTGCATTTTGTCACATCAAAATTAATTGTGGCATAAAGTATTTTTATACCAACAACAATAGTAAATAGCTCTGCTGTCTGTACACATACACAAGAGAGATGCCCATGCCCTGGATAAAGTAACTGAGTGAGGATTTAGATTATTTGCTTGAATTCAGCCAGTGTAGATATGGATTAGGATTTTAATTAAATCTTGCTTCAAGATCACTGAGAAATGTCCAGACCCAGTTCAAGTAGTGGTGAGTGGTTTACCACTGCCAAGTGTCCAGCTATCTTTAACAACAGTGTGGGCTAAGCACTTCTACAGCTGGATGGTGGTAGCGCAAGCCTGTAGTCCCAGCACTTGGGAGGCAGAGGTAGGCGGATCTCTGAGTTTGAGACCAGTCTGGTCTCCAAGAGCTAGTTCCAGAACAGCCTCCAAAGCCACAGAAAAACCCTGTTTGGAAAAACAAACACAAAACAAAACAAAAAGGCACTTACACAATCAAATCAACTGGCTGGTTGGGTTTTTTAGCTCTCCCCCCCCTCCAATTTTTGTTTTTTCGGGGCAGTGGTGGCAAGCGCCTTTAATCCTAGCACTTGGGAGGACAGATGGACAGATCTCTGTGAGTTCAAGGCCACCCTGGTATATAGAGTAAGTTCTAGGACAGGCTCCGAAGCTACACAGAAAAACAGCCACAAATAGTTTTTTAAAGATTTATTTCATGTGCATAAGTGTTTCGCTTGTACATATGTTCCCCTGGAAATTAGAAGAGGGTGTTGGGTGCCCTAGAATTGTAATTACAGATCGTTTCCAGCCACCCGTGTGGGTTCTGGGGACCAAACTCAAGTTCTTGGCAAGAACGTGTGCTCCTGATTGCTGGGCCATATCCCCAGCCTTGGTCTTTTGTTTGTATGTGTGTTTTGTGATACTATCTCCTGTGTGAACACAGTCTATCCTTGAACTCCTGATGCTCCTGTAAACAAGGTTAAAGAACTGAAGTCCAATATTCATCATTACTCATTCACCAGGGCCTGTTAGTACCCCCAAACTAGATACTTAGGCACAAGAGGAAGAGATAAACCTCAAAAGAGATTTATTTGTTTTTGCTGGGCATAATACAGTTCTGGTACTATAGGAATAGAGGCAGGAAGATCGGTGATGCCGAGGCTAGCCTGGGCTACAAAGCAAGATGCTATGGCATCTGAAGAATAATATTCCCTTGTGGTTTGGATCTGAAATGTCCCCTGAAGGTCCTTCAGTCTGTTGCAACCTGATGGACTTTTGGGAAGGGTTTGTTTGTTTGTTTGTTTTCAGATCATGAAAGCTATAACTGATTAGCCGATGGATGGGTTTATAATTGAGTGGCACAGGGGAGTAGGAACTAAGGAGGGGAATAAGTAGGTCATTGAATGGGCCTGCCCTAGCAATGTATCACGTGGTCCCATCCAGAGTATAGGAAATACCTTTGCTCCACCTTAAACCTCTAGTCAAGCTTGAGCTAACATAAACCTTCATCCTTTAAATTACTTCTCAAGGAATTTGACCATGGTGATGGAAATATGACTAATACATCCTAAAAAGGAGAAGTGCTTAGAATGGCTCCACTTCATAAGGAGAAATGGCTTCTATAAATACTTTTAAAAGAAGTAAAACTAAAACTGTCTTCTGGGAGCTAGAGGTAATAGTCTAGTTGGTAGAGTACTTGCCTGGCATTCATAAAGTCCTGAGTTCAATCCCCAGCACTCACTCTGGCATCACAGTCCAGGCATGGCAGCTCATACCTGCAACCCCAGAACTCTTTTTTTTTTTTTTTTTTTTTTTTTTTTTTTTTTTT